TTTTCTGTGACGCGGTTCCTCATCCTGTCGTGGGCAGCAAACACAATGGACTTGGTCTCGCGGTGTTTTCGGGGTGCGCGCTGCTTCCCTGGAAGAATTCCTTGCGAATTCCCCTTGCGTTTTGCATGAGCATGATGGTGGCATCTCTAAAGTCTTGGAGAATGGGTCCTTGTAGCCACATCTGGAATAACAGGATAACTTTTCCATGAATTTTGGGCCACTATACTTGCGAGCTTCGACCGCTATGAATAACAGGCCACAAAACACTCATATAAAACCTATTCGACAAAAGATGCCAACGCCAGCATAACAAATGAAATACCGCATGTGAGAATGCGTTAATCTCACGTAAGCGAGAAGCATTACCTTTGGCGCAGCCTGGTACATGGGTAGTTGGAACCGGGTCTTGTGTGCAAGCACAAAAGACCGGTCTGAAATTTCCTGCCACTAAGCTCACACTCACCTCCACTTATCTTGACTCTGTCTCCCCGTCGGAAAACGGTGGAAAGATGGAGCCACATAGATGCTTGGCAAATATGCCTCACCATCAACAAATTCCTACACCCCTTTTATGGTGGTCGCTATTGTATGATCGCATAGTGTAAGCTTTACTTTTATGTCCATTGCCGGCTCGGTATTTTAAGCCACTAGGAGTTGTTGAGATAAGAACTTTGCCTGAGTGGGATTGTTATATGCCACGAGCCTTGTCCGTTTTCATAGATCGCCATATTATCACGCTAGTTTTCTGCGCTCATCACCACGGCAACTGAAATGATTACGCAACCCCGATGGCTGATAGTGTGCTCTCCAGTGACTATTGTTACTCAGCTTTATTCATGTGCGGCCGACTTATAGGCTCTGTGTAGTCCACATGTTGCACTAATGTACCGCACAGGCCAAGTTGTTGTGGGTCGATTGCTTGATCTGCGACAGATGGTGCGTCAAACAGCTATGAGCAGAACTCCACTAGTATTGAACGACGTCTCCAGTAATTTCAGAAACCAGTGAATTGAAGGTAAAAAAATATATAGAATTACAATTTAGGTGATAAAACTCATGAAACCTTGACTGAGGTTTTGAAATATGGGTTTGATTAGAAGGAATTACCTAACTGAGTCTAAAGTGCTCATTTGCATACAACACCATCTCAAGAAGCCTCGCAAGCACCACAGGGTTGACTTTGGAACGAGACTTTTCTGAGCTGCCTGAGGAACTTCCGTCATCTGAAAGACAACTTTTTAGGTTCTGTTGCATGCCTGTGTACCTTGTTTCTGTGCATTTTATTGAAAGTTGTGTCCGTTTCAAAATTTATAATCAAGAGGTTGGTCTTAAGTTGTAGAAATGGTTTCAATTATTAGAAATTTTAGGACAGAAGAGACAGTGGCGAGCGAACGTTCCTTTCGGTAAATTCGCATCAGGCCAATACAGTTACATAGGGCGGGGTACAGTGAGTGAAACAAAAATCGATAAAAGTTAGGTTTTAAATTACGGGCTAGGCAAGAGCGGAAGGGCGCAGAAGGTTGTATGTGGTTAGTCAACCTTTGACCACGGTAAGCGCGGAGCCTGAACAAGGTTCTTTTGGTCGCCTAGGGTCGGTTTTCATAACCTTATGGCGGCCGCATCTGCTTTTGCTAACAGGCGCTGGCCCAGTAGCTTAGGGTAGCTCGAGGGGACATCTATGTGATTCAAGTGATGGTAACTTGTCAGCCCGCGTTCGAGGCATTAATGGCCGTGATCTCGTCATCCGTGTAAGATGCTGGTGTGACTTTTGCCCGGTGAATTGGCTGACTGTCACTGGGA